TACAAAAGGGCACCTAAGTGACCGAGTGAGAGGTAGTAAATGCAAAAATCGGTTGCAGAGGGCTGAGATTTATGCGTGCGTGTGTGAGCATATTGAAAAAGAGAGAGAACAGAGGAGAAGAGTGAGACCCATGGTCATCATCATCATATTTAAACAAAAGATTTAAGATTAGTTTAGCAGTAGGATACAAAGATTGCCAAATCTGGGAAATAGGCGGTTCTTTACCTTTCTCGCAAATCTAGGAAATAGGGTGGTTCTTTACCTTTCTCTTCTTTTGATATGTAGGAAGAATTGTTGTTTAGATTCCGTGTTGTTAACCTTTTTACAGTGGCGATTATTGCTGACGACCCGCCTCGTGGATTAATCTGTGTCGTCTTTAGTTATGGAGCAGGCGAGCCTTGCTTGCTCGTGTGCTTTCAGATTTTAATGCTGCTCATTCCTTGTCAGTCGTGCATGGCATGTGTTTCTGGGTATTGACTTCTCTCCCACATCGATCAATTATAATTTCATATACATAATCAGGGACGTCTCGTCAAATCTAACAACTTTGATCAACTAATTATCTTTACTCTTTCACTAAAAAGTAAGCACACATGTGCTCACTTAAAGAAGGATTCTCATTGAAGTTCACAAAGATATTCCGTAAGGTAATTCTCTTGTACGATAATCTAATTTAAAGTTAAGAAATTGTAAAAAAAAATCGTAACCTAAAATTTATAAAAATTATAATAATTTGTTTGAATTCAATTTAAAATATTAATTTTTAATATTTTTAGTTGAACCAAAATATTATGTAACATTTTCGATTATCATCAAAAAAAGTTATAAATAAGTTTTTAACCAAAATTGTCAAGAAAAATTTTAACATTTAGGTTGCACTCAACTACAAAAATTATAATTTTATAACATTTTGAATTACGCATTTTCTCAATCTTAAATTAGGCTGCATATCCTTAGACTCTCCTGTCACAGTATCACATCCCTTCAACCTTGATATAATTGCTTGTAATTAGAGACTGTGAAAATATTAATGCACTACAATCTGATTTAATTTTATAAAATTAATTTTTTTTAAAAATATATTCAAGACAGATTTTATAAAGTAAATTACACCATATACCATCAAATTTAAGTGTGTATCGTTTATACCATTGAACTTTTAATTTATTAATTAAAGCAATGAATTTTGATTTTTATTTCAATTATCCATTGAGCCATTAAATCGTTAACAGCCAAATTAAAACGACGTCAAAAGAGGTGTCCACGTCGATAATCGTCAATCACATCGTAGCTGTTAGCCACATCATTGTCCCCATTAACGATTAATTGGTATAATTGAAATGAAATCAAATTCAGTTCTATAGTTGAGAAAATTAAAACCAGTGGTATAAACGATAGAACACCTAAAGTTCGGTAGTATGATGTAGTTTACCCTTTTATAAATGAGTGAGTAGAATCATCTAGAATAAAATTTAAAATAGAGCTAAAAATTTTCTAATAGAAAAGAACATACTAAATTCATTTCCTCGTCATTTTCTTCTTAAAACCAAAACTTTTCTTTTTCATTTTGAGGTCTTCATTATCCCCTTCAGAACTCTAATACTAACGACCTTCGTTCAACCTCCCGTATTGTGAAATTTTATACCAGTCAAGATCCGTCTTCTCTTTCTTTCGATCTATTGACTCAATTCTTTGATAATACCTCTAAATGTAACAAAACTCGATTAGTGGCGGATGTATGTGTTCACTCTGAAATTCGATTTTAATTATTTATTTTATTAGTGATGTTCACGCTAAAAATTTGTTTGTACATATTCCATGCGATTTTTTTATTAATACATATGTTTAGTCTGAAAAAATTTATCGATTCGACACTTGTACTGTTGATATTCTCTACATCCAATCAGGGGCAGACGTATAATTTTATGTTGGAGGGCGAACTTGAAGTTGTAAAATTCTAGGGGACCGAAAACAAATTTTAATAGAAAAATATAGAAAAAATAAAAATATATGGTATTTTTAATTTTAAATCTAAAATATATGGTAATTTGACACAATTTCCATCAAACATTCAACCAATTATCAACGGTGTGACTCACTATTGAAAAAGATCACTACGGTGAGAGTTCGTGATGATTCGATAAAGTATGAGATATTCGATTTAAATTTTAGAAATTTTATTAGACATAAAAGGAGAGAGAAATGATTTGTTTGGTGGTGATGGTGATCAAAGAAAGTCATCAAAGAGATATAATATAAATAATAATAATAATAATAATAATAATAATAATAATAATAATAATAATAATAATAATAATAATATAATAATAACCGATTATTAGAATTTATGTTTATAAGAGAATACATTTAAAAACTTGTTGGACCGTCGAAATGATTCGGAGGTGAATCTCAATCTCAAAATTCAGAACAAAGGAATTGTGATTAAAATGAGGCCCCGTGAGACAACATAAGAAGAAGTGGCAAATGAGATGGAGGGTCCTGATTCCCGGAATGGGAGGCATGTTAATTGTTAACCTAGCCACCTTATGAATGATTGATCGAAGGAGGCAGCCGAGCTCCATAAATGCCGGCGTTGCACGTCTAAACTGTCCCACACAATTAAGAGTGCGTTTGGTTCACGGAATGTAAGATTATCAGTGGGAATGTAAGATAATCAGGGAATATGATTAATGGGAATGTTGTATTTTGTGTTTGTTGGCTTAGAAGGAATGTAAGATTATCTTATTTGGTTAAAGGAATAAAAGATTATTGGAATGCATATTTGACCAAATTGTCCTTATTATATATATTTTTTTAACAAATTAGAAAATATTTATATATTTTCTTTAAAAAATTTAAATTCATAAAACTTATATATATTTTTTACAAAATTAAAATATAAAAGGTTTAATGAAAGGTAAAATTTTATTTTAACCCCTGAACTTCATATAAAATTTAATTATATATTTTTTTTGTAAATCTAAAATAGTTTAAGGATAAATCTGTAATTTAATATTCGTAGAATTTTATTATTCAATGACAGAAGAATGATATTTTTTAAAGAAAAAAATTAAGGGCATTTAGTCTAAAACACCAGTAATCTAACAATACCTAAGGAAAGGGAGGTAATGTCATTCCCGATAATATACCCAAAAAATCCACTATTGGTAATCTTGCATTACCGAGAATGAGATTCACGGCTAATCAAATGGGAGAATGTGAATTCTATTCCCTAATATCCCACATTCCCCCATCCAAACACACTCTAAAGGCTTCTCCTATAGTCTCTCTCCGAACATAGTAAAGGATACCAGCATCCATGATGAATACATTCATACAAATACTCTCTACACTTTTATTTCATACATACATACATACATACATAGAAATACTATCAATGACCTTATTCAGGTGGTTGTGTAGCTAGGGCTAGGGCTGGATCTTGTAGGGCTGCTTTTTGAATGTGTTATCATTTCTTTTGTCTGTAGGGCAGCTAAAGCCATAGCCCTGATTATTGAGCTCCTCTGTCCTCCCTCGCGGAGGAAATTGATAAAAGAAAAACATGTAGGACCCCATTTTCATTATCCATAATATACATACGTACGTCTTTGTTGATCGGTAGGGATGAAGTATTGAACATAGATAGTGGGGGCATCCACCTACAATCAATTCAGTACCTAAACTCAAGGTGGTTGAAATTTCAAGGTTTACACAGTAACAGATTAAAAATTAAAAGATGGATTTAAAATTGTAATATTTTTCTTTTAAAAATAGCTATTCAATTAAATTTATCGGATTTCTAAAAGTAATGTATATATATAATTATTCTTTTAGAGGAATTTGTGCATTTGTCCCCGTTTACAAAACGATTGGAAAATGAGAAAAATTATAGGATAAAACTGTGTAATTAATACCTAAACTATTAATTTTGATCTATTTTGCTATCAAAACATTTAATTTTTTTAAAATCATATCTAATGTTTAGATTTTGTTTCATTTTAGTATCCTATTGTTAAAACTTAACGCGTTTAGTACTTAAACTATCACTTTTGGTCCCTTTTAGCACCTACACTTTCATTTTTTTTAAAACTTAACGTTAAATTTTAAACGGGTACTAAAATGAAACAAAAACTAAATTTAGGTGATTTGAAAAAATGAAAGTTTAGATATTAAAATGGACTAAAATTGATAGTTTAGGTACTAAACACATAATTTACCCAAAAATATCCAAAACTAAGAGACTATTTATTTGCCTTAATAGAACCATTCAATGTTGAATGTTGAATCGTTCAGCTTCAGCGCGTTTGTTTTGCACTTCTGAATGATTCATTGCTGACTGATTCAGCAAAACAGTGCTGAATGATTCAACACAGAAGTACATTTAAATGATTCAGAGCCAGTAAACAAACAACATGTCACATTCAAGCTAATTCATACAGAACCTCTAAATCATTCATCATTGAATTATTCAGCGCTTAATCATTCTAAAATAAACAACAACCCCTAAAGCACTAGATAACCTGACAATAAGTACAAGATTGTAAAAGAGAATAGGAGACGGTAACGCCATACCACTGAACCAATCGGTTCTTGGTATTGTTTTTTTTACGACCAACAACTTCAAACCGAACTTTAAACATGTTTGGTTTATTTGCAGCATTGCTGTCTCTCGGATTTTGTTTTTTACATTTAGACCAATATATGAATATACCTCGTTTTGATTGGCCATTTTCCTAAACACTTTGACGCTTAATGTCACCACAAGGATCTCAACAAGGTGAAGCTCCGGCATCCCTGTTCCCCTGCTTCTCAGGACCACCACTTCCAGAATTCCGTCAGGGCGGAAATTGAGAAAACAATCGGGATCAACCGTCCAGGCAGATTAAGGAAATCGTGAACGGCCCGGGAGAGCAAAACTCCTCGACTATCATCTCGCATTTGCTCGATAGTTCCTGAACCACTCCAATGCCCTGTGTTATCATGCCCTGTATAAGAACTTTCCCATCACGTTGCATCTCACATTTCACTTACCTGGTGGAATCACATTACATTCTTGGTCATCTACTCATCTTTATTTGTAATTTTTGTTCAACAGGATAACATGGTTTCATACCAGATTGCAATTCTGATGCACCTTTTAGGCTAATGATGTCATTATTAGTTAAAGGAAAGGTAATAAACAACTATATCGGTGCACTAGACTTACAATGTTGTCAAGGGCACAACCTGCAGACTAGGTACAAGAGCCCTTTCATTGCATCAGGCACAAAAAACGCACTTGCCCCAGTGAAGTAAACCACAATATTTTTTAGTGTTAATCATTCGTTAACTAACGGTTTCTATCTACATAGGAGTCTTTTTGCTCCCAATTGAAACGTTGGGGCCAAAATGCTCCCAAAAAAAAAAAAAAAAGGGGGCTAAAGTGACTATTTAATAAAGGGGACTCTAAAGAATGATCTACTTTCTTTACAAAACATGTAATCTTTTGTTGCTCAATATGTATTATGTCCTTACAGATAGTTAGATACTATCCCTTATGTGCTTTTCTTATGCCCATCACTTTGCACACAAGCATGCATAGTTGCATACATGCACTGTACGTGTGTCTGATCAAATGGACCTTGCCTAAAAGGATGCAGTGTACAGCATTAATATTTACATGCTATTGATAACATAGTTGACAATAGAAGCTTACTGTGATCGTTCCTGATACTTGGCAATGCAACTCGAAAAAGGAAGGCACTATGACTGACCCCAATGTCTATACGACCAATGGATGGTCCGTTAGATTCCTTTGCAGATCCAGTTAAAACAACAGATGGCTTCAAATTTGAGTCTGCATAATCTTGAACGCCCATGGCAGCAACTTCCCTTCACACACGTCAGCCACAAGACTTGTTTACTGATATCACTGATACAAAACAGACATGCAGTTAAGAAGTTAATAAGTGAATTACGGCATGTGATTGTGCATGCACATCTGCACTTCTCATGCAGCATGATACCAATTGTCACATCCATGAATATAATGCCGATAAAGAGAAGAGTCGGCACAGATGAGAAAAGTCAGTTTGCTTGTGCAACAATTTAGAGATTTCACATAAAGTTCCAGGCTTGAATTGACAATTGAAATGCAAAAAATCTCTTTAGTATATTTGTTATAATTGGTTTATACCCACAATTAAACACTAACATAATGAAAATAATGAGCTCAGTTTCGAAAAAAGTGCAAATCGATTCGTTCCCAAAAAGAGAAACAAATTTGGAACTGCAAAATCTTTATCATCCAACCAGCCCGGCATAACCAGGAAGCCAACCTACAGAGAACATCTCACACAGAGAGCTTGTGGTGAATAATGAATAACTGGAAAAGTTAAACATAATTGTTCACTGCACGAAATGAAAATTGCAGAATTTCAAATCATTTTTATGAGTTTCCAATGGGAACAAAATTCGAATTCCTCTGGCTTTCGATTCGAACCGTCTGAAATCCTTTTTTTTGGGGGGTGGGGGGGATCATCCATTTTCAACTCAGCATATACTTGCAAAATGAAAAAGTGTAAGGACCGTATCGTAACATTTTCAAGGTCACTGCAACAACGTAACTCATCTTCAATTTAAAATCTTAGTTTTAGGAAACAAATCAGGCCATAAAATTCGTAACCGCGACACCGCAGCCACTACCGCAATCACGGCCGCAACAGCAACACTACTAATATGGCAAGCTTAATGAGTGAACCATGGCAAAGATAATTATATACAAGTAGATGAGCAGTCTAGCGAAAAATAGCAGATCGAAAACAGAAAATAAAATGCAGCAGATAGTTGCAGAGGCAGGGAACATATAACTCAAAATCTCATACGACTCAAATAGAAATCCTCAAGTTGATTTTAGGGTTTCAAAAATACCTTAATGGTTTTCTTGGTCCGTTAGAATCTGGAAGACAAGCTGGGACTATGGTGGACTGGTGAGTAATTAGAAAAAAAAAGGTTGTTTTGTCTTTTAATTATATTAAATTTACATTTTGATTTAATTTAATTAGTAATTTTTTTACGTCGTTGACCGTAACGATATCACGTGACCGTTTATTGTACCAATATAGTAGTCTACATACAAATGTTGATGTGGTAAAAAGATTAGATTTATTGAATGTTGTTTACTATCTTTGGAGTCGTTTAGTTTCATCAATTTTTTTTTTAATTTTAATCAACGATGGTCATTATGCTATTAATATAATAATTTGTTTTGGTGGTGTGACAATCTACGTTTGAATAGAGATAACAACGAGTGAGATTAAGTTTTTAGTCAATTCGATCCGAATAAAATATATATATATAACTTGAACTTCAATTTTGTTCGACCCGAAAAATATATATCATCCATTTGACCTGACCTGACTAAAAGAGCATATTTTCTCTACTTGAATCTAATTCAACTCAAGTTTTTAGAGTATAAACATGACTTGACTTGGGATGAGTCTAGAGCGTACGTCACAGACCGAAACACACCACTAGTGTAACACATTGATGCACACCACTAATTAAATTGTCCTTATTAAATAAATAAGAAAAATATAATGATGTACACACAATTAATCCTTTATTATTTTTTTTAAATTTTCATAGGAATATAATTAAATTATATTTTTTTAAAATTATAATTATTTTAAAAACTTTTATCTGTTTAGAATTGGAACACTTAATTTATATAAGCTTACAAAATCATCCCAACAATAACCCATAAAATAAAGCATCAACGACCCTATCCATGCCTTTGACCGAATCTGTCACGATTTTATATTGAACAACAGATTTCCGGCGATGAACAAGGTCGATGCTCGTTGTTTGGATGATTTTATAATTTTAAATAAATTAAGTGTTTCAATTCTAAAATAATTATAATTTTTAATAAAAGAATATAATTTAATTGTATTCTTATTAAAATTTTGAGTAGATAATAATAAAGGATTAATTGTGGATATATCATTATATGTTTTCATAATTATTTAATAAAGACAATTTAACTAAGGGTTAACTACATGATTGATCACTTATATTTGTGTTTGTTCATTTTCCTCTTAATTTTAAAACTAATACAGTTAAAACTATAAATAATGTCAGACCAGAGAAATTTATTAATTTAGAGAGTTATTAATTTATCGATAAATTAATAATTATTAATTTAAAGAGTTTTTAAGTAATTATACTGTACATACCAAACAAAAAGGCAAATTAGTCTATGCCTCTTAGAATTACGTTGCAAGATATGAGTTAAATTAATAATGAGCACCAAAAAGACTTGAACTTTAAAGGAAAACAAACAACTATTGAATCATATTTTAATAGAGTGTAATATATTTTTTTCAGTTTCTATGAATTATTAATTTATGATTTTCTTGGGACCAAAAATTATAAAGGGATCTCACGAAAAATTTATTATCTTATTATTTTATCGAGTTTTTCAATTTTTTTACATTGGCCCAAGTCGGGACCGGACAAATTTATTATTTTAGAGAGTTTATTAATTTACCAAATATTTTGATATAATTACATATTTGGTCCCTATTTTTTTATATATTCTATCAATTTAGTTATACTTTTAATAATTTAAAATAAATTTAATCATCCTATCGAATAATGTCACGTGTCACCATTGAGATTATGTACAGATGATTTGTCTACTCTTATTTTCATGTACATATTTTCGTTACAAATTTAATTTCGTAAATTAGTTCTCAGATAAAGGTGATCGAAATTTGTTATGTACTCTTTTACTATTTGGCGTAAAAATTTTAAAAAAAAGTTTCATTATTACTCTAATATAATGTTAATTATATTTTAGAATATGTTCAAAGAATTGTAACCGGTTTAGACCAACAATACGATGAAAGAGTTTACATTTTCTATTATTTTCTAAATTTTTTAAATTTTAAATTTTAAATATTTATATTTATTATTTATCCTTTTATAACTTTTATTTTTATTTATTTTTAATTTGGTTTTTAATATTTTAATTTATACCTTTAATATTTTTAACTTTGTAATAATTTCTTAATTTATTTTTTAAAATATTATATAAAGTGTGAAACTTTAATTAAAATTAGTTGTCTTTAAATATGATAAAATCAATATACTTTCGAAGTAGATTAAAATATCAATTTAACTATTTTGTTACGTCATTATTGTAACACCCTAATTTAGGGGCTAAATTTAAGAAATTATAAAGTGGTGAATTTAATTGGAATTTTGGAAGAAATTAAGAATTAAATTGAATAATTTCAAAGTTGATAGACTGTTTTAATAAGTGAAGGAAGTTTAGTGACAAAACTCATAGTTTACTCATTTTTTATTTTGGGAGAATTATAACTCCATTTTCCCGTATGTTCTGCAGATTAATTTCTCAGTTTCCCTCTCCATTCAACCTACCTTTCAACTCTGATCTACTTGCCGTCCGACCTCCGATCGACGAGCCGAAACTACCATCGTGTTCGTTGTCAACCAAGAAACAAAACCCCTCAAACCTTTCGTCGTGAATCGTCGTCGTTCGTCGTTAATTTTAGTCGGAAGTATCGTCGATAATAACTCGTTTTCAATTGGTTTTTCGTCGATTCACGACGATCCGATGATCCGTTTATGACACCTCCCGCACCATCGTGTTCCTTGCATCGTTCCGAGACTGCCGGTGTCATCCTTGGTCTCCGTCGATGGCGGCGCGTGAGGAGGTGAAGCGGTCAAAGTTTCTGATTCGTTGAAATCGAGCTCTCCGCCGTTCAAAATTGTAAACCAAGCTTTGTAAGTATCTCGAAATCGCTTAAAATAATTTTTAGGAATTTTTCCGAGAATTTTTCGATATCAGGGCACTGTTCACGCACCGCCACTGCGCGTGGGGAAGGAAAAAGTGACTGGTTTGACCGGTCACAACCCGACCCGACCAGTTGACCTTTGACCAGTGTTGACCACTGTTGATCAAAACTTTGACTGGCTTTGACCGGACATTAAACGACCTTTGACTTTGACAGAGTATACATATCCTGACATTTTTCGACGTTCCAAATCATATTCTGCACTCTGTTTTTCGAAATTCGAACCCGAAAGTTTCGAAATTGCCGGTCAAACCCGTTGACATTGATTTTGACCGAAAATTCTAAATTTCCGAAAAGTCATATTTTATGATTTCGACGTTCTGAATCCGAATCCGAAGTCCGTTTCGCCAAATTCAAACCAGGTAAGCTATTTTTCACTGATTTATCACCCGATTTGATCCATTTATCGCAATTAAGCTCCGTTTCTGATATAGTTTATGTTAATATGTATCTGAGGAATTATTGGAAGTTGAATTGAAGATCAAATGTGTTCGAATGGAATTTTTATGGTCGATCAGTATTGCACAAAAATCGATGTAATACTTTACTATCTCTTTATGCTTTATGGAACATGTGAATATTGGTAAATGCATGATTAAGATAATGTTGGTCTCTTTTGTGTAGTTAATTAGTTTCTACACTCAATCTGAATACGGTAAAAGGGTTCAGTAATTGATTATGGTTCAGATGATTTTTATAAGAAATTGAGGGATTGTTAGAATTAAATTACAAGTTTTGTGCTTAGTGATAAAGAAATCAACATGGATTTGTAACTTATAGTTTATTTCATCAAAGGTTAAATGTTAAAGGTACTTGGATGGGAAATTATGATAATACTCTGGTAGGGTAAAATTACGAAAATACCCTTAAGTTGTAAGATGTCAAGAATTGTCCCTGGAAGTTGATTAATAACTCTGAAAGGATATATTGATATGATAAAACTACATATGTGCTTAAGAAATGCTAGATTTTGCTTACGAAATACAGATAACCGATTTTTAACCCCTAGAGGGTTTGTGCAATATATTAGAATTCTATTAAGGAATCATTTCAAGATAAGAGAATGTTCGGGAAAGCAATTGATCATAGGATCTCTAAATTATAATTAATTTCGTTAAGAGCCAATATTGAAATTATCTGGTTAAGAAATTACAGAAATTCCTTTGAGAGGTAAAATAGTCCTAGTTACTGAATGAGAAAATACTTTGAGGATTCGTACTTAACTCGATTAAGTACATATTTGATTGTTAAGATCCTGACTTAGTTCAGGAAAATTCCTTATTTTTCGTTTGTAAAATCTGATAAGACACTTGACCCAAAAATATCTGAGTTATGAGTAAATACCTGAAGAATAATTTATCGGGGTGTTCTGTTGTCATAATTGTTCGAAATAACTTAAATAAATGATAAGATTGAATTTATTAGTAAGATCGGACGGAAGGAAATGATTTAAATACGTTGAATCTATAAAATGACCAAAATACCCCTGTAATGGAAATAATCCAAGAATATCACCAAGCTCAGGAATGATTGGATATCCTTGAGCTCTTAAGTGAATGGAATAAAACTGAATACCAAAAATTACCAAAATAACCTTATGGCCTAAACTAAGTAAATGTTTTGGATTAATTAAGGAATCCAAATAAGCATATGTACTATACTACCTTTAAGAGTAATGGAAAACAACTTAAGTGAGTAGATCAACCCTAAAGCTATGTCAATACCTGAACGGCATAGATATTACTGGAATGCGTGTTTGTCTTTTCAAGTTTGGCTCGATGATAATTTTGGAAGTAATCAGCTCAACTCAACTCTAGATCACATTCAGTACTAAGAATTGGATATTTGTTCGACAAATCAACCACGAATACTAAACTGAACAAAAGTACAATATGTATCCGAAATTCAGAAAATGTCCGCTTTACTCTGGAAAAACTCATAAGTAACCGGGATAGACTTGACTGTTAAATGAAACAAGTAACCTCAATGACTGATGTTTAAATAAGTGATTTGGATGAGTCTGGAATCGTTAACGAACATACATAATGAAATGGTTTTTTATGGGTCATGAACTATAAATCAAGCACGTCAGCATTTCAT